TCCCGCGGAGGGTTCTGGCGACCTGAACGCAGGCGCGTTTGCGAACCTCCAGGATTGATGTTGCCGTGGCGATAACCAAGGTGTCATCGGCATAACATATGACTGAACACCCGTCCTCCGTTTCCATCCTAAGGATTTTGTCGTACGCGATATTCCATAGAAGAGGGCCCAGAACGGATCCTTGAGGGACGCCCGCCTGGACCTCTCTTCTTCCGACATGTGTTCGGTCGATCGTCGGGTAGACGACTGTGCGCCGGTCCAGATACCCATCGAGGATTCGCCGCAGGTATTCCGGGAATCTCTTGTTGACGAGGGCGCGCCGAATAACCATCCACGGGATGGAATTGAACGCGTTTTGGATGTCCAGTCCGATCGCAAGTGCGTATCTTCCTTGGCGTGTCGCCCCGCCGATGTCCCTCTGCACCTCCAGGATGGCGTCGCAGGTAGAGAGCCCTCTGCGGAAGCCGAATTGGCGCGGCGATAGGTCATAAGCTGGATGGTCCTGCATGTGTAGGAGCATACGCTCCGCAATAACGCGTTCGAACACCTTCCCCGCCTCGTTTAGAAGGCATATAGGGCGCGCTTTGAGCAGTGCGTTTACATCTTCCTGCGATCCGGGCTTTGGGATCAGCACTAGCCGGGCCTCCTTCCACGGAGCAGGAAAAGTCCCTTCACGGAGGCAGGCGTTGAGACCATTAGTCAGGTCCTTGACCATGGGAGGCGGGACCCTTTTCCATATGGCCGCCTTCAATCCATCGAGCCCGGGGGCCGCGTTGGGCTTCTTATTGTCGCGGATCGCGGCAAGCGTCTCCTGCTCGCTGATGGCCCACGCATCGTCCCACCTCCAGTCAGCCCATCTGTTACACAGATTGCGGGTTTCACCCGCTGGAAACAGGGAGTCTAGAAGACGGTCGAGTGTCTCTGCTTCCATCGTCTCTGTGAGGCCAGCACCGGATCGGCGTAACCGGTTCATGACTAATCGATAGGGCAGCCCCCAGGGGTCCCTATCGATTTCGGAGATGAGCTCTCTCCAAGCCATTGCCTTGACCCTGATGATCGAGTTCCTAAGTGCCCGCTTGGCCTCTCAATACGCGGCTTCGCTGTCCTCAAGCTCTTCAGGGGGGGTGGCCGTCCCTTGTCCGCACTGCCTACATTTTCTCCGTGTCCAGTGCCGTCTGGCACGGATGCAGCTCTCGCGTAGTTCGGCGATGTCCGGGCTCCACCAGTACGCTGATCTGCGCGGGTTCTCCTTCCTAGATCTGGGCATCGAGGTGTTGCACACATCCGTCATCACCCGATGCGTCCAATTGGCCCACTCCTCTGCGGAGGTTTTACTGGCTTGTCGTACAGCGCCGCTCCAGATGAGAGAGGCCCTGAATATATCCTCGTTCATCTTTTTTATGTTCCAACGGGGTGTGTCCCTGTAGGAGGGTGAACGTTGGCGATAACGTCTTCTTCTTCTTCTTTGGGCTTCCTCGATGTTGAAGAGGATCGCACAGTGATCGGAGAGCGTTTCCAAATCTGGCTCGACTCTCCAATTTGTCACACGCTCGCATAGATCCTCGGTGGCCCACGTGATATCAACCACCGATGTGCCCTGCGGCCGGACGCACGTGGGCGTGTCTCCAGTGTTGACTACCCGTAGTCCCAGGTTGCTGGCCCACTTCCAAAGGAGATCGCCTCTTTTGCACGTTATCTTGGAGCCCCAGTGTGTGGATTTCGCATTAAAATCGCCGCACAACACTGTTTTGTTGCCTGCTGCTCGGACAGCTCCTTCCAGCTCATGCAGCTCCCTGCGAAAGGCGACCGCACGGTTTCGCCCCTTCCCAGGGAGGATATAGCATGAGATGACCTTCACGTCTCCGCACGAAATTGCTACGTAATTGTCGCCGCGTCGAAACAGGCTACAGCCCTGTTGGAGGTGGTCTCCATTCCAATAAATGGCAGCCCTCTTGCTGCCGCTCGCGTGCCAGAATGGAGAGTCGGGAACGCTATAGGGCTCGGACACAGCAGCAATCCCGATCCCCAATTCGGTAAGATACTGCACGAGTAGATCGTGCGCCTGCCTGCAATGGTTGGAATTGGTTTGAAGGACCTTAGTCCCCATTATCCAATTCCATCATTGTCTCGGTCCTCCTTGCCGAGTTCTCCATTACCGCACGCTTGGGCGGCGCTTTGCCTTTGCTCTTAATAGGTATTTTCTTCGCACCGCATTTTTCCGAGCCTAGACGGTGCCCGCTCTCCTTCCCCTGAGATTCACAGATCAGGCAGTGCGGGTTGTTTGCGCATTCGACCACTCTGTGTCCTGCCTGTCCACACCGATAACACCTCAGGCTTCTATCCTCGGGGGAGGAGCAACTCACCCTCATGTGCCCGAATTGCCAGCACTTAAAGCACTGGACGGGGCGGGTGCGCAGTAGCTCCACCTTCACTGTCGACCAACCCAGACGAAACTTTTTGAGACCGTTCATACGGACTGCGGCCACGAGGGGGCACTGTACCCATATCAGACCCAGGCCGTTCGTCATTCGCTGGATCTGTCCAACCCTCATTTCCTCTACCGTACAGCCGCCTTTCTCAGCAACGGCACCTTGCACCTCGGCGGCGTCGACAGTCTTCAAGTCCGATAATTCGGAGTTCACCCTTGACGCTGGGCCTGGAGATTATTACCTCCTCTCCCTCTTTCCTCTCTCTAAAGGCTTCGCAAAGTTTACCGGCTAGGGTGTCGGCTTTTTGGGTTCTGTCGGCTCCAGGGATCTCAATGATTACCCCTCCGCTGGCGGTCGGGCGTACCTTGGAGGAGTCTATCCCCAGGGACGTGAGGGAAATTTTCCTTCGGGCCTCGAAGAGGATCTCAGCATATAAACACTGAGGATTCTTTCCTTTGATGGCTACCGCCGCTGTTCGTGGCGCCCGCCTCGTTCTCCGCCGTTGCTCGCGGGGTTTTGCCTGTCCTTTCGGCTGCGACACCTCGCTCGGGAGTATTTTGCTTCCTTTGCCCGTACTTGCGTCTTTACCAGTTGCGGTTCTCTTCTTCTTGGGCTTCCGTTTTGTGATCGTGGTCCAATTTACCGCTTCCTTCATGTTATCGGCCTGGGGCGGAAGAGCCTTATCATTGTCGGTGTTACCGTTTTGGCGGCGAACAGTCACTCGCTGGTCTAGTCTCACGTTCTCCGTGATGATGGGTTTCTTCCGCTCGCGTCTCTTACTCAGAGCTGGGAAGTCAGAACCCAGTCTTTGATCGGCAGGTCCGTCAGAGGCCAAAGGAGGCCGCAGGGGTTCTCCGGCAACAAACGACTCTCCACCCAATAAACACGAATTGATATAAGATACGTATAATAATCCATAGAACTATACGTACTATACGGTGTAAGAAACGTATGAAATAAATCTATATAATCGGTGGATATGTCCGCAATCCATCCCATTTTATCTACGTATATATAAATGGATTTATAAACATATTTATGAAACGTATTTTTAACGTATTTATAAACGTATTTATATAAACATGCTATACAGTATAAGAAACGTATAAATTAAACGTGTATAATTGGTGGACATGTCCCTAACTAATCCCATTTTATATATGTATTTATAAACGTATTTATAAACGTAAGGTTAACATTTTACACACACACACATGCGCGCGTGCGTGTATGTGTAGGCTAATAAAATTTAAAAATTACATTAATAAAGTACATAATTTGTTATAAGAAGATTTATTATAAGAATACTATAAAAATAAGAAATTCACATACAGTTTTAATATGAATTATAAAAAGTAGGTTGGTTTTCTTATTAAATAGATTAAAAAATAATGATTAATTTTCTATTAAATAAAATATGAAAAATACATAAGAGATCATGAAAATAATTAAATATTTTTCTTAGTAATAGAATAACTTAACCGATTATTTGCTAACTTCAACCAGTCCTTTACAGCGCTTTCAATAATCTTATCTCCCGTATATGGCCCACTTATCTCATTGAAGGCTAATTTGGCACTTGCTAAGAAAATGATAAATATATTTACATATTTTTTATTTAATTGGATAAGAAACTTTTGTTGAGAAAATTAATAATAGTTATATATATACCGTAAATAACGCTCATAAGTCTTTTTCCTTTAAAAGCAATCTTTTTCCGTCCAGCCCAATTAAAGTGCGTTGCTAATTTGTTCGTTAATAGAAATCGTAACATGCTCATCACACAACAACGTTGATTTTCACCACCGATTGACGCTAGTCTTGTACGCTGTAATGAAAAGAAGAAATAAATATATATATATATATATATATATATATACTTTATAATTTTTAATGTAAAATATATATGTGATTATACAAGAAAAGTTAATATGCATTTTAAAAATTGCTAATATATTTGTTTAAACTAACATAATAATTGAAGTTTTCTTCAACTTCTAATAATTTTTCCATTTCTTCAAATTGTTCCATAGTTGAAAGAGGAAGTTCAGGTAACCCTTCAGGTTTTGTCAATGTTGTCATTTCTGTTGAATTCATTTTTCGCCGAAGTGCATCAATTTTTGACAGAACTTGCTCATACGTAATTTCAATGCTTTGTAAGTATGATAGAACAACGCGCTGAAATTCAACCTCTGACAATGGTACAAAATCCTTTACGCGAGGAATCTTGGTAATAGAATGAGAATTAGATGTCCCAGTAATAGATTGACGCTCCTGATCTGTTTTATCTGTTTCCATACTAGAAAAAGTTTTTTCAACATTTTTGACGTCCAAGTTTTTGCAGGTGATTGTATAACTATTTCATTGATAGATTGAATAGATTTAATAACAGGGGCAGCAGGTATTTGTTGTAATAAGAATTGCACACTTGTTGTATGTTCTAATTTATTTTGAAGCAAACTACTAATTCTTTTTTGCAGTAAAAAATCTGTATTATTCTTGTCTTTCTTCATAAAAGTATACTTTCTTATTTCCTTTGTCTTTTCATTAGCCAAATTGTTATTTTCATTTAAATCTTCATCACTTGTTGAAAAATCTTTTGAATCTTCTGTAGAATCTTCTGTATTTGAAGATAGAGTCGGACTTTTAACTATTCTCTTTCGTTTTATAGACATTTTCGGATCATGTTTCTTCTTACGTTTTGTTGATGCAGCAGTATTTGAATCGCTGTTTTCTAATTCATCACATTTAGAGTCAATTAAATTATATCGTTTAATTATTTCTTTTTATTTTTGAATTATCTGATGATGAAGTGACTTGTTCAATATAATTATTCATAAACTGTTCAGCCGCATCATAATCATCTAAACATTCAAATAAATGAAATTTAAAGTATAGATATTTACATA